TTTACCAACGTTTCAGAGGTCATACTGCCTCCGTCATCAGGTCTCTTACTATTAATATTCACGGAATGGTTGCATGTAATCATAGGTCATGATAATTTTTAATGTAACTCTGGCGGATGTTAGAACTATAATTTTTTTTAGGGCCAGCATCCGTGGTCTTGAGAGATATTTGGATGTATCATCATCTGGCGTTTGTTTCTTTGCGGAGGCCAGTAGGTATTTTGTGGAGACTGAATATTCTATTATTTTAATTCTTCCAGGAATTGGACTCCTTGCCGTGGAATCCGTAGACAGAACTGAGGTTTAGGGCACTTTCATTTCTTGATGGGAGAAAAACAAGGTTGGTGTGAGATCGCCATGTTGTTCCTTTCTCCATAAAGCAGTTGACCGATTTTAAGGAAATGTTTCAAATGTCGTGCCTCTTAAAGCCACCCCCTACAGAGTAGGTTTCAATTTTTTTTTTACAGCGTGTGACAATCCGGCCGATGTAGGGCCTTGTTCTAATTTTCCAAGTGTCGATGGCTGAGAGTAGAAAAGGTTGTTCGTCAGAGGAGCGCAGTTGCCTAGCAATACCCGAACCTGTTTTGCCTGCTGTTTATTTCGGACGGTGGATCCTTGTTCTTATTCTTCTTATTTTGTTCCTTGCCTGGCGTCCGCACATTTTATGCAGCGAAGGTCAATGTACCTGTGGACCTCTCTTGAGTTCGGCTTGAACCATGAATTATTTACCACACGAGGTTGGCATGGAGATTCCGAAACTTGTACAGTGTCTTCTTATAATGAGATTTTTCGTACGAAGCGTTGCTTGAGATAACCAAATATTAATTGGAAATTCTTCACAGATTTTCATTCCTGACGCGAATATAAGATATTTCGCCTACGTTTGCCACAAGATATTGCAAAAAGGCTTTAATATTAATCTCTTTGAAATACGTGTGCCTCCTAGTTGAATCTCTCGTCTGCTTGTCCGTCCGGCATTTATTAGCCGGACGCAGTGGCGGTCTTGGGAGTGACCTCGTTCACTGGGACCTTGTGTTCGAATCCCGCTCAAGGCATTGATGTTTGTCCGTCCGTCTATGTTGTGCTCTACTGTGTACAGGCAGAGGCCTTACGACGGGCTGATCACTCGTACAAGGAGGCCTACGATGGTGATATTTTTATTTATTTAGTGTTCTGTCTGACGACAGGTCCATATGAACAGGATCCTTCCATCCTTTTCTCGGACTGGGACCTGTTCATATACGTTCTTGGCAGATGATCCAAAAGTGGTTTGCCATAGCCTTCTTCTGTGTGTGAATGGAGTAAGTGTTGGGATGCCACGGAGGAAAACTCCGCGTTCCCTAGACCACGGCCTTGTCCAACACAAGTTATAAATTCGGGCCCCGACGGGAATCGAACCCGAGACCCCAGGATTACAAGGCCAGCGTTCTAACCGCTAGACCACC